TTCAGCAGAAGCAAGCTGAAGAACCAGCAGTGCTGCCCAAGACGGAGCCACAAAAAGTGCCAGCAAAGCCATGTGAGGAACCTTTGGCTGTCCCTCATACTGCAGTGGAAGTGGAAGGCATGGTACATGAAGCAGCTGAGGAATTGTGGAAGTTGAAAGAGTTGGGTCACGATCTTCAGAATATCAGCCTTCCTGTAGACCTTGGGAATACCATCCAGGAGCAGGACATGGAGACCATTAGCAAACAGGTCTATAAAAAGGTACAAGCCTGTGGAACTTTGATCTCATCCCATGGCTAGTTTGCCTTTAGCAGCTAATGGTTTTTAAATGTTTACTTTTTATTTGTCCAGGCAGTATTTGATTTAACAAGAGAAATTTTTGGGGAAATCTTTGCTGAGGATCCTAATCTCAATCAACCCATTTGGATGAAACCATACAGGATTGCTTCTTCATACTTCCGGCGGGTAAAAGATCCTAATGACCTTGATGAGATCAAGGTAAGAAAAAGGTTGCCACAAAATACTCTGTAAGGGTGGATAAGCATTACCTTGGGCTTTAATAGGTGTAGCTAGTGATTCACAAAGAGATCTCAAGTGTGGTCCTAGTTGATAAAGGATTATGGAAAAATGTAGAGGTGCACTGATAGATGAGTCCGTATTGGATCAGCACCAATAAAATGAAAACTGGCGTTATTGGCAATTGGCTTTTTTTTGGCCAGTGTAGCCAACAGTGTCACTAATTAAATGCCATGTGCATGCACGCAGGTGCCGTGCACATGGCCAGGGATGTAGCGGGGCAGCTTGGAGAGCTTGTCTGGACAGTAAGTCCTGGGCGTAGCGTGGAGGGCTTTTTTGGTCGTGAAGGCCCGGGGGGGGGGGGGAAGGGATGTTGCGGCAGGCATTTTGAGGCCCCTACGGTGAGGAAGAGAATGGGGCTGGGGCTGGGGCTGGGGCAGGAGCAGGCGATGCCCAGCTGGGACAGGGCATGGGACAGAGCTGTGGGCGGCTTGTCCAGGTGTGGGGAGGGGGGACAGCTCCCCACTGCTGTGTGCACTCTGAGGGGCATGGGGGGCATGTGCCCCCCAGATTTCACCTGGCCCCAGGCCTGCAGCAGGCAGCCCACCCTCACCCCACACACAAATCTGGGGGCCACATGCCCCCCATGCTTCCCCTGGAGTGCATGCAGCAGCAGGGAGCCACACCCCACCTCTCCCCACCTCCCTCGCCCCCCCCAGTGTCCCCAAGACAAGTTTCCCACTTCTCTGTCCTACACCCCATCCTGGCTGGGCAGTGCCTGCATCTGCCCCAGCCCCCTTCCTCCCTCACCGTAGAGGCCTCAATCTGCCCCACCCCCCACGCACCTTCCCTCCCCCATGCCCCTTTCCCCCTACAGACATACCGGCCAGACATTGCTCTCCAAACTGCCAAGATGCACATTGGCAATCAGATCGGTATTGGCTGATATGGCTGGTTAGTAATCTGGTGTCAGTCAAAAAGATCTTTATCGGTGCACCCTTAGAAAAATGGTATTTTTTTTACTCAGCAGTTTTGGTCCCCTCTGTTCCAAGGGTTATGTGCCAGTTTTAGTGATTTAGGGGCATAGGTTTATACTGTAGATCTAACCAACCTTAATCTTTGTGAACAGATTTATGTACCTGTGCTGACTTCAGTAGGACTCTGTGCAGGTGTAAGGGCAATTGCAGGATTGAGTCTAAGCAAGCCAGACTTTGTGTTTATGCATGGTTAACTGAATGCTAAATTTCAGTCATGCCTGTGCCAACCCCATTACCCTTAATGGAAATATTCATATGCATCTGAGGGCATGATTTGAATCTGAAGAGGTTGCACTAGGATAACTGAGGGCCTTGTTTCGCTTGCAGAATTTGTGTCACTGATGATGATGCACAAGAAGGCAAGCTGAGGTTGTTCAGATTGACACTAAGCCCCTTTGGAATTTGCAGGGCTGAAAGAAGAAATGCTGCTTGTCAACAAAGTGGTTTTATATTGAAATCATCAGGATACAAACAAGGAATTCCTAAAATGCATTTTTCTAGTCATTTTCAAATAAAACTGAATTTTAAGGAACTTGTCCTTGATAATGCATTGGATCTATGGCACTGTCAGGAATACAACCCAATATTCCAAACTATAGCTGTCCCCAAACTGCTATTAATAAGAAGAGAAGGATAAAGTCAAGAAGATTTTTTAAAAAATGGAGGAGAAGAGGGCATCAGTCTCCAACACACATTTTCCTGTTATATTCCTCCATGAACTGAGATTTAATCTCTAGCTGACTGTATTATATTTAGAATTAAAAGTTGTGCTTTTAAGAGCATTGGAGCATTTAAGTGATGACTTCTGTCCCCAGTCCTGTATTAAAAAAATTGAACTTTTTCATAATATTGCTTTTAAGACGGTGGTAATAATGGGCAATTCTGTTGTAAACTCCTTGAAATGTAACATTTTGAAGAAACTTGAACTGAAACATACCCTCTATACTATGATCTGATTTGTAGAGCAGGTGCTTTGAATAGGATTCACCTTTTCCCTAAATATAATGATATCAATTTATTTTCTGTCATGTAGAATTTCATTGCAGCTGAAGTGCTGAAGTTATTCTGCTTGAGGAAGGAACCTAATCACAAAACCGATTGGCAGAAAATGATGAAATTTGGACGAAAGAAGCGGGACAGAGTGGATCATATACTGGTCAGTGGATGAAAACAAACTATAATGTGACCAAGTGTGCTACCCCCTGAATTAAAAGCGTTACCTAGATCTCAAAAGAAGGCACCACTGATGACATTTTATAAAAGGTAGTTAAACCTAGGTGCAGTGCTGGACAATATTTTAAGTCCTTAATAGTTCAGATAAGTATATGTGAAAGCAAAGGCAACAGGGAGAGTCATGAGGAATAGAGGATGTCTTATCAGGTGCAACTTTTAAAAAGTTGATCATTACCCAGTAAGTAATAAATTAATTAATGTGTTAATTGTTGATTACATTTATGGAATGATTGAGAGGTGTCTCTTGGCAGTGATGAAAAAAATGAGGATTCTGCTTAACAATGTAAGAATTTTCCGTACATAACACTTTCTTTAATTATATTCTGCATTGTTATCTAAATATCACTTACTTCAAGCCATGGATCACTTCAGTCTTTTGTTCTGGTAATTTCCAGAAAATTAATGGGAAATTTTTTCAGCTAGCAACTGAATTGAGCTTTAACTAATAAAAAGGTTTGAATTTAGGCTTTGAATATCTTGGGATATCAAATCCTGGGATATCAAGGCTTATGTACATACAATGCAACTTAGCTTGTGTGCAGTTCCCTAAAGTTCAGCCACTTCCTATGCAAATAGTGCATCTATTATACACCTGCACCAGTTCACTATGGTAGCTTCTAATTATTGAGAACTAATCCAAGGAACAAAATAGGTTCCTTCTTTAAATACGGTATTTACCCGAGTACAAGACACCCCTGAATTTAAGACAACCTCCCCAATAATGAGATTCTGTATACAGAAATGTATTAATTTATTATGATTTCTATGTATGGAATTAATTATTGGAGGATCATCTAAAATTCATCCCCCTCACTACTTCAGGCAGTGGGGGGCAGGCAGTGGGAGAACAGACATTGGGGAAGGCAGTAGGGGGAGCACATGGTAGGGCAGGTGGTAGGGCAGGTATTGGGGAGCAGTAAGAGGGCAAGCAGTGGAGGGAGTAGGTAGTGTGGATGTGGTGAGGCAGGCAGCTTGTCCCCTGCTGCCTGCCTTTCTCCCCCACCCCCGCCTGCACAGGTTTTGTAAAAGCTTGCCTTTAGAAACTAAAGAATAATAGAAACATATCCATTCTTTTTTGCTCATGTACCTGAGTAAAGATGTCTTAAGTAAATTAATATCTACAATTTACAGTGTATAAACTAGTATCTAAAAATTCTGTAGTTAGTCTATTAAGAATGGCTAGAGAATTCTGTAGAGGATTGTGTTGTTAGTCTATTAAGAATGGCTAATTGATTGTCCACATTTGATTTGATGCTTAAAAAAAAATTCTCAGGTGCAAAAATAACCTAAATTAGATTACCATTATATCTGAAAGAATAATTATAATATAAAGCAAAAATAGATAGTAGGTCTATGCGAAGCGGCAGGCATTTGCTTTGGATTCAGATTCAGCCGATTCGGAGGACAGTGATTTGATCCGGAGATTCAAATCACTATCCCGATTCGATTCAGCCGAATCGGATCCAAAAGGTTTGGTGCTGCTTCAGACATTCGGCCACAGACTAAACAGGCAGCTGGCAAGTCTTTTGGGGAGGAGGGAGGGATTGGGACTGGGGCTGGGAGAAGTTGCCCAGCCAGGGCAGGGGGGTGCATTACTCAGGGAGGGGGGTGCGGGATGCAGACGTGGCAGTGCTTGGAGCGGGGGCTCTGCCCTGCTGTCGCTTGCCCAGCCAGGCCAGGGTGGGGAATGCAGGTGCGGCTTGCCCTGGGTGGGAGGGGGCAAGCGGTAGCAGGACATAGCCCCTGCTCCCAGTGCTGCCGTGCCTGCATCCCGCGCCAGCTGGCAGGCAGTAGCAGTGCTTGCCTGTCTGCGCCAGCTGGCAAGCAGTGGCAGCACAGTCCCCACTCCCAGCACTGATGCAGGCATGGCAGTGCTGGGAGTCCGGGCTGTGCCCTGGTGCCAGTTGCCCCCTTCTGCCTGGAGCGATCTGCGCCTGCATCCCACTCCCCCTGCCCCAGCTGGGCAAAGTGGCAGCAGGCCATAGCCCCTGCTCCAAGTGCTGCCATGCCCACATCCCATGCCCCCTGCTTCCCTTCCTTAGCCCCATGCCCCCTGCCCTAGCTAGGCAGCCTGTCCCAGCCCCAGTCCTTCCCTCCCCTCTCCCCCAACCCCAACAGACTTACCAGCTGGAGGCAGCTGTGTCATCTGCCTGTTTAGTCTGTGGCTGAATTGCCGAATCTTTTTCTGAATCAATTCGGATGGTTCGAATAGTAGTTAGTGTGAATTTTGGCATTCAGGAGTGTCTGAGAGGGGGCTTTAATTATTTAAATATTTGGTTCATGTGTATATAACATCCCTATGATAACTGCAGTGGAGGTTTACATAGGTAGGTAGTGTTAGGAATACGTGTAAGGGGGAACAGGGAAAGGGGGAATCAAGGCAGTCTGAGACTGGGGGGCCAGACACAATGGCAGGGAAGTTGGGGGGGCAGGTGGTAGGGGGAAGCTGCCTGCCTCTTACTGCCTGGTCCCTATCACCTGCACCCCTGCTGTCTGCCCCCCACTGCTCCCTCTGCTGCCTGCCCCTTATGGCCCCCCACCACCTGCCCTCCCACATGCCCCTCTCATCACCTCCTTCCCCCTACCACCTGCAGTAGTGTGTGTGTGGGGGTGAATTTAAGATGATCCTCCAATAATTGGATTCCATGCCTGGGAAACTATAACGAATGTTCAATGCCTTTTGGAGGAGGGGCATCAGCTGGTCATTTCAAGAAATCTGTTTCTCAGGGCTCTGCAGCTGGATTGAGTAGCATTCACACTCTTCAGTGCTTGAGGTCGACTTGAGCTTTCCTGCCTTCCAACTCTTCCAGCAGCTGCATTGGTCTCTGGTCCCTCCAGCAAACCTCTGCAGCAATAGCTCCTACTTTGCTGCTCAGTGGAATTCTTAGATAAGCTGTACCAGGAGTATTGCTAGCAACTCTTTTCCATTACTAACACTAAAGCTTGCTTCTGCAGGTTCCCTTTTTCCAGCATCAAACAGCTTGGCTGGATACCAGTTCTGATCTTGCCACAGATCTTCATTCCCTCAGCATTATGGCCACGTCTCTTCTGCTGCCATTTCTGTGGATATTCATGGTTCTCTTTCAGGTGTGAGGAACCTTTTACAGACTTTTTCCCCTGCAGCCTTCTGGGTTTATAGTCCTTTTCTGTCTGAACTTAGATTCGACTTCTTGGTATCATTTCCCCACTGCCCGTTTTGTTTCTTTTCCATACAAAAAAGAGAATTTCAGAAGCCTACTTTCAGGTTTGTTGACAGTGTGCACCCTTACCCTATTCAGAGATTTTAGTTTAAAAATCTGGGCTGAGGGGAGAGATTTTGTCGAAATTTAGTATTTGTTACAATTTTCTTGGGATAACAACTGAACCATTTTTCTTTTTTGAAAAAAAGTAAATAATTTCCTAGCTGAAACATAACAAATGAATTGTCAATGTGATTATTCACATTTTTCTTTGGAAAATTCTGGTCTTCCGTAAGCAAAAAAAATTCAGTAACTTCGACTGATGATTTCAATGAAAATCACAACTGTTGGTGAAAAACTAAACCTTTTTGAAAGTCCAGTAGTTCTTCACAGTTAAAGTAAAAAAAAAAAATCTGTGACCAGTTTGAGTTCCATTATCCTCTGATCTTGATTTCTTCATACTCCACAGGAGTTTTTCTTAGGCACACGTGAGAATTAGATGCCAGCCCTCTCTTATGTTCATGGGAAGTTGGGCATCTTGCTGCTTTGTGCTTCTAAAGATCCCCCCTTCAGTTTTTGAAATTTACCTTCCTCTCTGTAATGCGGGTAGGGTCAGCTCTTGCCTGGGACCTTCTCCCAGCCTCCCCGCACTTCCCACCCTTTGCCTGCAGCAACTTTGATGTTGTTAGTTGTAGGGCAGTGGGGAAGCCCTCGAACCAGTAGCAGCTCTGAGGATAGCCTGACCTGTTCAATCAGGCCATTTGTCCTACCCGAGCCCTTTCTTGCCCACCTGCACCCATGCAGAAGTCCCTTTTCATGGGGTTGCCTTGCAGGTTTCTGAGAGCTTGTAGGGGCTCCAGCTGTCAAAGCGTAGGCACCTTTTTCTCTCTGTCCATGCTCGCCTTGGTCCACTGATTAAAAACCTCAACCACTGGGTTATAGATCTGGCCTCAACAGTTGTTTTCACCCCTTTTGGGGTTCTGTCTCAACATGCTAATCTTCCCCTCAGCTTGAGGCTGTCTTCTGGCCCCTATAGCAAAAAAGGGCCCACACCTCAACACCCCTGCTTATGGTTTCCTTTGCCCCTGTAGCCACAACCCAGACCTCTAGTTCACAAGTCCAAACCAAATAAAAAAGCACAAGCCATCTGCATGTCAAAAGAAACAAGTTTCCCTCCTTGGGTAAATGCAGCCTGCAGGCCTTACCTGCTTAGGAGTGTTTTGTCACCCAGTTTGCCTGACTGTCCACCTGCACCCACGCTCTCCTGGGCTCCCCTCTTCCCCTCTCCTTGTTTGGCCCCAGGCTGGGTTTAAATCCCCCTAACCCAGCCTCCTCCTGCTCACCTGCTGCCCCTGGAGACCACGTATAGCCAGTCACTCAGTTGCTCATTAGCTGCCCCTTAAGTGCCTGCCATCTCAAGCCTCACCAGTCACAGGGGTGGGGGTTCCTTGTTACACTCTATCAATTTGTTGTTACAATTTCATTATATTTAAAGCACTGGCAGTAGTGGTGTTGTAGTAGCATAAACCAAATTATCCCTGCTTTTTCACTTGGCCTCTTAGTCTAAAGTTAAATTGACGAATTCTTAGAAAAGATTATTAAAGAGGCCATTCTCAACAGACTGGCCAACGGCAACTTCCTGAGGGATAGTCAGCATGGGTTTGTTGCGGGTAGGTCTTGCTTGACCAATCTTATTTCCTTTTATGACCAGGTGATCTATCACCTGGACAAGGGAGAGGAGATA